TCGCAGGCGGATGAAGGCGAATAATCAGTTTATTCAGTTGAACTTCCGTCAAGGCTCCATTTAAAAACTACTTTATTGATCCTAAATGAAATTCACTGTTGTAACTCCTACAGTATAAGCTTTTTATCAATGAGTTGTTGTAGATGTTGATGCCTGTGGGCAGGAAGGATCTCCTGTAGTGATCCGTCATACAGGACTGAAGAAGACACTTTGTTCGACAGTCTTATGAAGAGGATGTTCAAACAGCTTTCACCTCTCTGTCTTCTGGAGATGGAGGGGAGGAAGGGGGAGGCAAAGGGAGCAGCAACATCTGTAGTTGAAAATGAACATATAGAAGATGGGAGGTGAAGGATAAAGCCTGGACTGTAACGTACAGGATATTGGGCCCAGGAAACAGCTCAGACAGGTCAGTGGAATGCAACAGATTTTATTAATAATGGGAGGCGCAGGGAGCGTGCAGGCGGCTCTCATTCAGGAAATACCCTGTGGCGGAGACAACAGGTTAGTGATCAGCAATAGCAGAACTAGAGAGGGAGTGAGGCTGCATTACTAACCTGTTACTGGGTCCCAGAGTGGGCGACTGGCACCGTTTTGGGTCCGGGGCAGGAGTCCGTACGATGAAGGGGCTTGTGGAAGCGGTGGCCGTTGAGCGGCGGATGGTTAGCTGAGGACTGAGGCTGATGAGCTCCAGAGACAGTTCGTTTATAGATTCCAGAGATGGGGTCCAAGCGAAGGTACAGAGAGGCAATCCAGAAGAGAGGTCCAGGTCCGTTCGAGGGTCCGTTTACTGGCAGGTTGAGAGAAGCAAAAGAGTTAGGCAGACTCGGTTACCCACTGACTGAGTGGGGTTCAGGTTCACAGGCAGGCAATCCAAGGCAGAACTGATGCAAGGGTCCAGAGGCGGATCTGGTTTGGATTCAGGGCAGGCAGACAGGATCAGATAAGGGATCAGGCAGGCTCGGTGAAAAAAGGCAAAAACAGGTCAGGTAACAGGTAGGCAGGCAAAATATAGAAAAGCTGGATGGTACTCAATAGTTGGTTTGAGACGATCTGGCACTGGGAACAGATCCAAATGAGCTATATAGAGAGGTGGAACCAATTAGTGATAATAGCAGGCAGGGTGGAGTTAGCAGGTGTGAGAAGTTGGAGATTAAGCCAGCACCAGTGCCGAGATCGTCACATGGACAGTGGAGAGGAAGGTGCTTCGGAACTGAAGCTAATGAGGAAGGCGTGTGCATCCTAACAATCATCTAGTTGTAAGGCTAATTTTAAACTTGAATGATGAGGAAAACAACTTTAAATGCATGTTTAAGAACCTTGTTTGAGTATGATCTGCATTTAAACCTGGAATATAAGGAGAAGAAACGTTAAGGGCTGAAAATGAAAATCAGTTTACTAGAATGAATTTCAAAATTATAAAAAAGTATTTTAAACCTTGTGTATAGCTTAAATATTTTCCTAGTGGCGTAGGACTCAATCGCCTGAATTTACTCCAGGATCAAAGAGTCAAACTATGCAAACAATATATTCACATTCACTGTGACAATTTTTCCAGGGAAGAGATTCCTGACAGAAATCCATTTGGAACTTGGAGTGTAAAAATATATCCTCTGTACATTTCCTGGGCATTGAACATTGTTCTCTTCACAACTAGACTTAAAGGATAGTGTCGGCACTTCCAACAGTAATGTAATTTCTCCTTTAAATTTTGTTACAATAATAAGACTAATATCACAAATATAACAAACAGTTACTCTAAATTAGATGATTTCAATCCTTTCTTTAACATCAGCATTATTTGTGATGCAGTGGAACTAAATTAAAATGAGGATCGGGAATCTTCCTCTGCACCTCCAGAGCTTTAAGCTGTGATGAACAACTAAATTTTTAAGTTTGTCTGTGTGCAAAATATTCCAGAAGAGATTTATCTCCTTTGTCATTAAATCTGTTTTTTTTAGCTGCATTTTAAATAAGCTGATGATTTGTTTAAATGCATATATTTGCTTTCTACGAGCAAATTATTGCATCCCTGCTGTTGTCATGGATACCCTCATTAAAATGAGGCACTGAGGCCAATATGGCTGGTAACAATATGACACCAGTTTAGTCATAAATGAAATAACAGGCTGGAGTCACCATGCATGCACATTAGCTCACAGCATTGTGGCTTGATGGTTCATTTCACAGAAGGTGCAGTCACTCATGGCTTCGTCATGTTGTGACAATATCTGTACTCTGGGAATCTTTTTATTCTTTTATCTCTTTAGAACCAGCTGGTGCTGCTCAAAAAGCAGTAGTTGAATATTTTTTTTGTAATATGTCATATTTTAAGACTGTACTTTTTTATCTTGGACTCTGGGTTTATAAGAAAAAGCTCCTATCCCTTCAATTTAAGTTTACAGCGTTAAAAGCAAAACATCTTAGAAAATTAAACAATAGATAAACATTATAATAAAAAAACAGGACAAATGTAATGTTATTGGTAAATGAAAACATCAAAATATGCAGTGTTTGTTAAAAGGAGCAATCAACAAAATCCTGATAAACAAACACTGTCATGTTCTTTTTAAGGGATCTGACCCACATGCAGGAAACCACTCAGAGAACCACAGAAAAGGTTTAACATGTTTTTTGTAAGCACGGTGAGTTGGATCCAGTGTTACTCAGAACGCTGGTGAAGCGGAACTGGAAGTGAGAAGGAAAGTTCAGAGTTTAGTTCAAGCTCAGTGGGAAACTTGAGCGACGACTTGCAAAAACAAAGACTGAAACGGGACTCACGTTTCCAGAAAAAAGGTGTCCTTCCCAGAATCCAGTCGGTGTGGGTTATTCCAGAATTTGGTTGACTCATTCGAGGGAGGACAGGGTTTACTCAGGTTTGGTTGGTGCCTTAAGGAACGATGGAGCTGACTGCCGCTTAAATTTCCTGAAGTACTTGAACGGTTTGTGTGGAGATTTATCCCCTGCTCAGTGTGAAGCTCAAACGATCCTTCCAGGGGGAGAAGGTCCAAACATCCAGTTTGCAGGATGACTTCCTGCCGAGAGGCAAAGACAAAAACAGCAAGGTTAGGGCTCAGGGAGAAAAGACTCCGTTAGACTCTGCTAAACTCAGCTTGGCTAGAGTACCCAAAACTGGGAAACACTCTGACGACGAGGTAGTGGCAGTCAGCTGCTTTAGAGTCCTCAGATAATGAGGAAACCATCGACAGGTGTGTGAAAGGCCCAACAAGAACCGGGCACCACCTGGTGGTGGAGGGAGAAAACACAAACAAAACACAACCCACACAAACTGGATTCCTAACACATACGTCTCCCATTACAAAAGTATTTGTATTCATATAACTGCACATATATATTTATATATATATTAAAAAAAACTCTTCCTCATCCGCCGCAGGCAGTCTTCTTTTTTTCCTCCAAACTGGGGTCCTCTATCAGAGGCCTGGGAGTTTGACAGTTCTGCTCAGTATCTTTGCTGTCCCTAGAACTCCACTCCTCTGGACCGACATGTCTGATGTATCTCCAGGGATCTGCTATAACCACTCTTCCAGTTTGGGGGTCACTGCCTTGAGGACCCCAATGACCACGGGTACCACTTATGCCTTGTCCTCCAGGCTCTTCTTTGAGCTTCTGGTGTTTCTCTAGTTTCTCGTGTTCTTTTGTTGCTGATGTTGCCATCGCTTGGTATTACCATGTCAACCACAATGGCTTTCCTCTGCTTTATGTCCACTACCTCAATGTCAGGTTGGTTTTCCATTACCATTCGGTCCGTCTGTATCTGGAAGTCCCAGAGGATCTTGGCTTGATCATCTCTACCATCTTTGGAGGTGTTTTCCACTATGATATTGGAATTTCCAGCCAATACTCTGCACAGATGTTCCTGTATACTATTCCAGCCACTTGGTTATGGTTTCCTGGCCAGCATCTTACACCCTGCAATAATGTGCTGGAGTGTCTCAGTTAAAGGAAAATTCCGGTTTTTAACACTTTTAGCCCATTTTCTGTAGTGTCCAGGATGAAATCGAATGATCGACACCAAAATTTTGACAATTGGTCCTGTCTCTGCTTTTTGGCTCATGCAGAATCCCCCCCTGGCTGCTTCAGAATGGCTTCCATTGTGCATGTCCGATAATGTCCTTAAAACAACCTTAAACGTTCTTTTTTTAAAATATGCTACTCACCGGGTCGTCAGCGCTGTTCAATGACGTTCCAAAAAAAGTTTCGTAAAGAAAAAACGTTCCTGTAGTGTTTTATTTAGCATTTTGTAAATCCCATTGAGTTCTGTTGGAATAGTCAATATCCCTCCGCCACCGGAAACGGAAATGGGGCCTGTTTACACTTAGTTGTAGTTTTTTCGCAAGGCCCAAGTGTTTCTGCTTCACTCTGTGTACTCCGACGTCGAGGTGCTAACGTCTCTGTTAAACACTTTAAAAAACTCTGAAAATGGAATACGAAAGGTGGATTCTTGAGGAGGACATATTGGACTTTGAGTTTGACGGTAGAGGATACCGTCGCCAACTAGTGGTCTGGAGTGTGCAACGCTTCAGATTCGAACGGGAAGCGGAAGTTTATAAGCGGTTGTGATGTATCGGAAAAAATAGTTCTGGGATTTACAACAAGACAGGAACGTTTTTTCTTCACCAAACTTTTTTTGGAACGTCATTGAACAGCGCTGACGACCCGGTGAGTAGCATATTTTAAAAAAAGAACGTTTAAGGTTGTTTTAAGGACATTATCGGACATGCACAATGGAAGTCATTCTGAAGCAGCCAGGGGGGGATTCTGCATGGGCCAAAAAGCAGAGACAGGACCAATTGTCAAAATTTTGGTGTCGATCATTCGATTTCATCCTGGACACTACAGAAAATGGGCTAAAAGTGTTAAAAACCGGAATTCACCTTTAAGTTAGTTAAGTATAAACCAGTATTAGTTATTTCTAACACTGCCATCAGTGTCTTTTCTAGGTATGGTGGCTCAAAAATGGTTTTCTGACTAAGTTCAACAGCTTCTAATCAGCACTTGGTCTAAGTACTGCATATGTGAAGATGGAAAAAACACAACTTTAAATATTACCAATTGTTTTTTAGTTTCTACAACAGTAGGCCTGCATGAATAACAGCATTATTTGCCACCAGGCAGAACATTTGGTGGGCTTTGTTCATCAATGAGACATTTAGAGTTTGCAGACGGAGATCTGTGGGTTAAGCTATTTCAGTCAGACTGTGGGGCAGCTGTTCGCTTCAGCTCAACTGTTCTCCAGCAGGGAAAATGTTTATCAGTTAAAAGACTAACAGAAACGTCAAACAAAAAGGCCCGTTTAGTGATGTGATGAACAGTATGGAAACAAATCAAAACATGCTTTTTGTCTTTTGCAAATCAAAAATCTCTTGGAGATCAAATTTCAATAGAATTTAAATGGATTTGTTTAGCAGTAGAGTTGCTTGTGAGAATTCAAAACACAGAAAAGATAAAGATCTAAACTTTATTACTGGAGTTCAGTCTCTTTTAGCTGTGAAAGATTGGCCTGATGAAATAAATTTAAGTTGATTCTGATTACTCTTTTAGATACCCTAAAAAAGGAAATATACAAACGACAGTCAGAGCATTTTCTGTCCTTCCTGCTGCTAGCAAACATAATTTCTATCCATTTTGGAGCAAAAGTGACTGAGCAGATCCTGTAACAGGGTTTTACTATTTTAAAACTGATGCTGCGTTCACATCGGACGCAGCAGGCGCAGCAGAAGCAGCGAGTCTACATGCAAAGTCAATGGTTGACGCGCGTCAAGGCGCAGCAAAAGGTCCCGCAGCGCGTTTTGAGCAGCAGGAGCAGCAGAACTATGGTCACTCCTCTGAAACAGTTAATTAACGCCATTTATTGATTGGATGCAAACTATT